ATCAGTTTAGGATTAGGTTTAATATTTACAAACATGTAAGTAACATTAAACACAAAGTAGAGTCAAGGATGATGGGAAAGTCATTAATTTTGAAGGTATTTGTTCATAAATTAAAGTATAAATTGAATCTATTGAGTGTGACAAGAAATTATATGGAAATAAATAACAGTTCTAAAACCTTTATCATTGTTATAGGCATAACATTAGTTAATTATCTTACAATCTATCACTCATTACAGTGGATGTGCATACATGATGAATGTCTATATAAAATGTAATCTCAATTAATTAAAATAGAGATTTCAGTCTGGATCAAAGTGGTGGGCAGACAGACTGACATCATCCCAAGAGCAATGCTGCTTGGATGGCTAAAAATAAAGGAATATACTGTAGAAAAATGAACAATGGATGTAAAAGGCCCAAAGATCAGACATGAATCAGAAGAATTTGGGAATGTAAAAGGTTCCTGCCCTCAATTTTTTTTGCTCCATATTCAGGATTTTCAAGGTTTCCTGGATTCTTGTTCAGAGTTCACAGACCTTCCTGTCTGCTGCTGGAGACGGAGCCAGAGAAACCAGCGTTGTTTTGCTGATATTGGTCACACTGTCCCCTCACACGCGACCACTGTTGGTCGAAACAATAGTTCCCTCATCAGAAAGCCATCATGGACGAAGGAGGAACCCAGCGGGGGATCCCACATTGTTCTCACCGAGGAGGAGAAGCAGGGGATTGTCGAGTAGACGCTCTGCAGAACAATGGAGGCAAAGAAAAATCATTTAATGTTAAAGGACAGAGAGTGAAATCTGTCCCAGAGACAGGAAGAGGAGGTGACTTCCAAAATCTATTTTATTATTTATGAGTACATTTCCTGTAATCTGATTACTTTCAGTTGATATAACCTGATGATAAGAGTCAGTTTATTCTTATTCATCACCTCTAATTAGAAAACCATCAGCTGCTTTTTTCCCCTTCAATATAAAGTATAAATTCAGACTGACAAGAAAACTGTTACGAAGTTGAACCAATCAGTTTCACTGCTTTCAGATCTTATATTTATTTTTTAACTCAGTGATTATACCAGTTGACACTTCGGTGCTTCCACTTCAACTGAAACATCTTTTGCCACATATACATTAACTTCAGCTGTGTCTATCTGTTACTCCTACACTGACATTTAACCTCCTGGTCTAATCTTTTACTGACTTTTTAACTGACACTTCATTTGCTTTCATTTTTTATTCCTTAAATGACAAGTCAGTTGCTTTTACAACTTACACGTTAAGTGACATTTCCACTGCATTCATCTCTTTCACTTCAATGCCTTTTAATGTGTGCACTCAGACTCACACTTCAAGTCCTGTCTCAGAGTCCTGTTTTTGAGGACTTCCACTTCAACTGACTGAAGCTCAATGTATCTGCACTTCAACTCATATTTTTATCGCACTTAACTTCACATAAACTTCCTTTCAGTGCTGCCATTGTAACTGCTACTGTATTTCAACTCCTTTCACTATTTGTACTTTGGAGTGCCACTTCAACTGCTCACGTATTTCATCTATTACAAATGTTTTAGCAGCTAATAGCTACTAATCTTTGTTGCCACCAAAACCGATCATTATCAGTAAAAAAAAAACGTCTTTCTTTGAAATCACATCAACAAACCCAACTTTTGAAGTGGCTTGAAGACTATAAAGACATAAAGTACATATTTGGCATTCTTCTGACTGTAAACACGCTCCGGTCTGAGTCAGATTTCATTGTGTTGACACTGAAGGAGAATGTGTTCCCTGTTTGGGATATTACAGTCCAGGAGGTCGGCGTGGAGGAAACCCAGACACAGATCACAGCTTCGTCCAGACGGCAGGCGCTGCTCTGACAGCAGGCCGGGCCTCTGATGGAGACTAACCTTATTAACTGTTTGTCTGCTGTCTGTGCTTTATATACTGTACATATTGAGCAACTGGAGTCAAGTCAGCGACACAAAGGGAAGGTCAATAATGTGAAGTGATCTGCTGGGTCAAAAAGGACCTGGCCTGCTTCCAGTCATTGTCAAAGGGGTGTTTTTTTCAAAGCAAGCATGCGATCCCCTCTTGTATGCACTCACGCTCAACTTTTGAGTATTTCCTGTGGAGGAATCAATAAGACAATGGCAGTGAGTGGAGTCAAGGCTCTTTACTTTATGATTGAATGTTTGGATATGCAAAGTGGCCGTGACAACAATCGCTGCAAACAATATAAATTCCCAGAGAACAAAGTGAGATGTTTTCAGGACGTTTTGATCCAATGGAGGTTTTCTGCTCTGTGTGTCTGTCTGATTGTTGGAAACACAAGTGACATAACTGAGATTAAAACTCGCTGGGACACCAAGAATCCAGCATCAAAGACCATCTTTATGACACCAATAATTTTAGCTAATGTTAGTAAATTAATAAATTAGTTATATCTGATGGCTTATGTTAGTAAAATGCTAGCTAATGATTGATGTAGATATTTATGGTCTGTTGGAGCTGGGAATGTCCCAGAACAACAGGTCGGAAAAGGTTAGCCATTAGCCATTGTTAGCAATACCAGTTGATAACGATATGCATTTCACAGAGGAAGTTGGACCATAATGTGTGTATGACTATTTATTTTCTTTATTTTTTCACTTTTTATACGATTTAATGAGACATATATAAGACAGAAGTGCTAATAAAGAGGATATTGCAGCAGTTTTCACTGGACACACAGAGCAGCAATATTAGATTGTGAGGTTCTTTCCTAGTTTAAAATCCGACTTCAGGGAGGCGTTCAAGTTGAAATTTCCGACTTGGAACTCTGAAATTCCAACTTAGAAGTATGTGCTTTATGTCAGCACGTCTGATATATATATATTTTTTTTTTAAAAGCCTATTTTTATGCACGATCCATGATGATAAAGATACAGAAAAATAGAAATGCATGTCAAAAATAGGATATTGTCAATATTTTTGAGTCTTATTAATCGTCATGTATCATATCGTGGCTCACAACCTTTTTATCCTGATGTTTTAACACAGTCAGACTGTAACTGTAAGAAAAAGTCTGCATGAACCCACACACACTAATGCACAGATACAGGATTCACATACTGCAGTGATTCAGTGTGATTTAAGGTCAGTTAAGAGTCTCCGTCTCTGCTCTACACAACACTTGTGCATTTTTTTCCCTTCCCAGTTTACCAAACACATAAATACCAAAGCCACATTCTCTGGCCTCTTATGAAACACTTCCTGTCACTGACCTCTTATCAGCTCTGCTCAGCCTTTTTCTCTCTTATTGGTTATAAAACTACCGTCCACATAGCGGCTGATGAGTGGAAACCAGGAGTGCAGAGGCAGGCTCTGTTCTCCGCCATTAAAGAATAAAATAACAAAAAACAAGGTGATAACAACTCGGGACCTTTGTCCTCTCGAAACCACAAGCATGCTGATTAAATTCCATCACAGTTATTCATAGCCCTCCCTCCTCCTCCTCCTCCTCCTCCTCCTCCTCAACATTATAAACAACTGGCTCTGCCGAGGTTTTCGTTGTCCAAAAAAGCCTTGAAAAAGTAGCTGGCCGGTCAAAATCCTTTCAAGCCGGTGGGAGGAAAGCACATCACACGGCTGGAATAGCAACGAAATGTCAAATCAGATATTAGAATAAGCAATTGTGTCTGAAGTCTGAATTGTGTTGTGTTCAGTCATGGAGTCTTGGGTACACAATCATAATGTTTTAGGAGGTCCCTCCCCTGTCATTACAATGATGAGGCATCATGTACTGGAAGCTTTTTTTATTTTTGGTGGGTATCATTACCACCAAATGAAAACAGCCAACTTCCTCACGCCCACGGCAGACAAAACACGTTTGCGTCTCCTGAAAGTGGTTTTCTGCAGGAGACGTACAGCAGACACCAGCCATCCTCCCTCCTCCGATGATCCACGTCTGCCCCTGTGGTGCCACCGGGGGAGAGGAGGCACGGGTGGAGATGACGCCTCTGAACCCCGAGGACAATAGAAACAGAGACGCAGTGAATAATAATGCATTCACAAACTGGGTTGTGTGGTGCCAGCTTACAGTTATAGTAACTAACACTAATGAGATTCTTCATGTTTTTACAGTCAAACAGCCAATTTGGATTCATGAAGGTTAAAATAAGTTTGCAGGAACGGTGCCAAATGGGACTTTTCTTTTCTAAAGAGGGGAAATTACTCCTAGAGTTTTCTGAAAGTTAAATACTTTTAGTAGTTAGTTTTTGCTTTTAATAATCGAACGCGCAGCAAAATTGTCAGAATATGTTTATTGTAACTGTGAGAATATGAAAATAAAACAGTGTCAGAGTTTTAATGACACTTTTAGATAATTAGGGATCATACATATTTAATACCTCACAATAAATAAAACAGCATAAGAAGTGATTTATATGAGCATTTCTTAAAATAAATTTTTAATAGTTGTCAAATAAATGTAGTGGAGCAGAAAGTAAAATATTTCCCTTGAAATGAGGTGAAGAAGTAACAAAGCAGCATACAATGGAAATAATCAAGGAAAGTACAATACTTGAGTAAATGTAATTAACTTTGAACAAGTGCTCCAGAGCTGTTATCAACCCTTTGAGCAGACAAACTTTAAATAAAGTCCTCACTTTAAAGGCCGATCGAGGTCGCCATCGTGACTGGGTCCGATTGAAACTGCACCACACAGCAGATTTTCCAGCCTTTTAAAGAGCTTTCAACATTTACCTGAAAGAATTACTCTGCTGAATGTTGATCTTGACTTTTCTTTACAACTTTTAAATTGGGAGAACATTTTCCTGTCCTCAGCTAATGAAACATCTTCTCTTTCACCCCTAAAGAGGCAGCCAGAAACCGGAGGGAGAGTGACGGTAAACCACAAGGACACAGGAAGGAGGAAGACTGACGCAGACAGCGAGAGTCTCACTGCCACAGGATGATATCGCAAAAATCTATGAAGGCAATAAAGACAGGAAACGGCACGGCTGAGCATTTATACTGCAAAAGAGTTTTATTTCAACTGACTGTTGAGTATGTACAGGAGAACAATTTGTACATAAATAGGCAGTACTTATAAATATCAGCGGTTTTGCTGGTACAAAATTAAAAAAAGAACATATTGTACATTATCTACAGGTGCCACTTTGGGTTTTTGTACAACATTGTCTCTTGTTGGATTGTCCGTATAGTCCATTCACACGTTATCTGAGCTGCACTGCACATGCAATCGCAGCGGGTACACAGTATGTGTCCGGGGGGAGAATATGTGGCATTTGGACGACAGTGGACTGGGGGGCAGCTTCAGTTATGAGCCTATGAAAAGAGACAGGATTATTGAGCTGGGCATCTCGCTGCAGTGCGACGGCGTTTTTCTTTAAAAGTCTAGAGGGAATTATTAGTTGCTGGGTAGCTCCTTAAAGATATTGCAGTACACACACACGGTCACACAGCTCACAGAACCTGGAGTGGGGAAAAACAACAATATTCGTCACAGGCGATCATGGCACTGGGTGTGAAACCTTCGAGTGAGTGCGAGTAACTAAAAAATGACTATCCAGTGGTTAGTTAGTTCATGTCAGCTGTTGGTTGCACTCCTGTTTGTACACTACGGCTATACACAGCTCAGGATGTACAGTAAGAGCACAGCTTTCAGTCCAGTCTGCCAGTTCTTGCAGTTTCTTTTTCGTTGGCAGAAAAGTCGTTTCTAACACATCAAATAAAAAGGTTTTCCAACACGTTATGTAAGACATTGCTCAGTGAACTGCTCCTCTGAACACAGTGTCACTTACAATTAGGTCCTCACCCTTTCTGACGCTTTAGGGGTCCGCTAAAGAATGTGAACACCCCCCCCCCTCCGCTAATGAAAGAAAATAAATTAACATCCTGTTATACTACTCACATGCACAACCGCACAGATCAACACCAAACAACAACAACACTCACAACATGTCTCCTATGAACCACACATACACACAAACATGCAGAAACTGCCCCACGAACACAGAGATATCATTGCTATGACAGCAGGTGAGTCATCAGTAGCAACTCACATTTGGTCCCTGAAATAGAGCTAAAACATTCAAACAGGTAGTATGGATGATGTGCAGAGTATTCAGTGGTTAAAAAGGGGCGGGGGGGATTGTGTTTAATTATAAACATATCGCTGTAGCACTTTCATCATTTTAAAATCCACAATCATCTTTCAGGCATTCAGGCTCCTGCTGCCACTTCATCTCTGTGCAATATCGCCCCCTCGTGTGCTGAGCTGGTACTGAAGGTGAGTTGTGTCAATTACATAACTCCTATAAATACACAGCGTTTACCTTTTAGAGCTATGAAACCACACACACACACACACACACACACACACACTTTACACAAACATTAATTACTTTTTTTGTCAAATTCATATCAATTGGGTTTTTTTTCTTCTCCCAGATCTGGATACCCGAGCCAATGTGCAAATGTTTCTAAAAAAACGAATAAATCGTGGCTGTGATATCAATTAAAAGAGACAAATGTGATAAATAAAGCTAGAATGCGAGTGATACTTTGGCATTACAACCTAACTCCTCACCCTGGGTTTAGAGCTGTGCACAAGACAATCTGTTTGAATTCTGGGAGGATTTATGGGCCAAGTAATGAGCATTAAACTCACATGAAATCAGTGTATCTCTCTATTCTTTACTACTATCGGCGATTAACACTGAGTCTGAGTAAATACAGTAGCTTCGAGCACATTTCCTCACAGACGATCTTTTACACTTTGCGTCTGATATCACTGATTTCTGTGAATATTCAAAATGGTCGGGTCACACCAGACTAGTTTCATCGCACTGTGCTAAAACAAGGCAGATTAATATCAGTGCAATATGCAAAGTTTAAACTTAAGGAACATGGGTCAATAAACAAAAACAAATAAAAAAAGGAGGGAGCCATAGAAAAATGGCCGTCTGAGCAGCAGAATGTGTCTGACCTTCTTCTCCGGGGAGAGATGGCGTTCCACAAGGGGGAATTAATGCTGTGCAGACGATAGTAATACAGAAAATCTGCACCAGGACTCACAGACACGGGATAGTTTGTCTGAAAATATGCCAGAGCTGACTCTCAAGCAGCAAAACAACCCTTTTTTACAACCGATACACCTTTCTTTAAAACCTGAATAACACAGCTTGTCCAGGCCTTTCTCTGTCTGAGTTTCCTCTTCTCTTGCCGTTAGTTACATGAGAGTATTGATACATAAATATGAAGCTGGTATGCAGTTAGCCTGGCTTAGCACAAAGCCTGGAACCAGAGGGAAACAGCTAGCCTGGCTCTGTCTCGCTCACTGTGATTAACACATTATATTCAGTGGTGTAGTGGAGGGTATAGTAAAGAGAGTATAACCACTTATTTCCTAGCATGGCAAAGGCGTTACATAGTTTTGTCCAATTTTCATGACAGGATGTAGTAAAGATTGGGAATATGTCACTCTAAATGTATAATTATGTAGTTGTCTCACCCTGTAGTGTAAATACTGGAAGTAGCAGTCTGATGACACAGCCGGTTTATTCTTGCTGGATGTGCCGCTTAAAAAAAAAGAAATCTGCACGCAAAGTTAAGAGTATACCCATTCCTCCAGAGACCACTGCACCACTGATTATATCTCATTTGTTTAACATAAAGTGTGAAAACGACACTGTTTTTACGATGTTTTATGTGGCAGATTATTCTTTTCTTAACTGCTCTTTACTCCCTGAAGTTAGCAAGTACATAAATCCCCCTGTAAAAAATGTGCAAAATGTCACTTTTAGATTAAACAAGATTCATAATGCAGTCCTGTCTCCTAGAAACACGTTAACTACATAACATAAAACTAATTTGCGACAGGAAATACATTCTTCATACCGAATTACATTTTCTACTGGCATAAGGAAATGTCAGCAAGGTGCAAAAATGTTGAACATATCAGTAAAATGTTCAGTGACATATTTAATTTGTTTTCCACTCGTAGTGACTACAGCATTATTTAATAGTCATCAGTGATCTCTAACCTCAACCAGACTGCTTTTGTTGCTTCTGAACTCTGGACTGTGCAATTTAAAATGTAATTGCTAGACAACAGGTCTGTTTGTCATAATGTGTTAATGATTGAGCATTAGAGGCAGATTTTGTTAGCGTCTGACGGAGCCAAGGCTAGCTGTTTCCCCCCCGTTCCCAGTCTTTATGCTAAGCTAAGCTAACTGTCTCCTTGTAGCGTCCCGTACAGACGCGAGTGACTTCTTCTCATCTAACTTTCAAGCAAGAAAGCACAAAATAAACATATTTCCCAGTGTGTCAAAATATTTCTTTAACTCCGATCGGAGTTTTCGTTGGCACTCGAAGAATCGATATTTCAAACGTAGCGCTGATGCTGGTTTTCTCCTCCACGTCTGACTGATTTCACACCTCTCAGGGTGGGAGAGGATCTCCAACATTTACAAAGTGCAAAATTCAAAGCTGCATCTTGCTCGTGAGTTGCACGGTGCAGCTTTTTCAACCATTTTAAGGAAAAGGAATGATCATGACAATCTGTATTTGAGCGCCGTGAAGCCCGAGGAGGTGAGGCTGATGTTTAACACTGAAGAAAAATTGTGTTTTTGCTGATGAACACTGTTGGGTTGTCACTCCCTAAAACACCTCTCACTGCTCAAACTTTTGTTCTCACGCTGTGATCATCCAAAGGAGATCATCAGATCATCGTTACAGGGTTTTATTTTACCCTCCCTCCCCAACAAGTGCAACAGAAAGCCTTCAAGAGTCAGTGGCCACAAAGGCATCTGGATGTTCCAGAGAAGGCTGTTGGCACATAGAAGTGATGTAACTCTGGAAACACCCGAAACATGGCTTTCAAGTCCAGAAAGCTGAGGATGGCGCCGTCTCCGCCTGGTGCTGCTCTCCGGCACGAAGACAACCGACCTGCATTGAGTTTCCTCTGAACTGCAGTGTGATTGTGGCAGTAACGGAGCAGAGACACTGGGGGGCGCTCTCTCCTGGCGACATCCCCCCCAAAAAGGTCCAGAGCAACTTCTGCCTCCTCTCTGCCTTCCGCAAACCCGGCCACGGCGAGCACCTAAATGTCTCTGGCTCGATTCCCCTCTCTCTCGTCTCGGCGTCTCGTCCTCCGGCTCGTCGAGGGGCTCACAGAGTGGCCAGGACGCGTGAGAAGGATATGACGACAGAGAGGGTGGTCTGGCCCACACCGAACACCAGAGCCTCCAGCGGTGCCATGTCCTTCCCGGCCACGCGGTACACCCCCGCCACCGCTGCGCCTGAGGGACAAAACAAAAAAACACAAACACACACACACATCAGCAGCGAGTAAACAGATGGTGCAGGAGCACAAACACAGCTGTCTGTCACGGCCTGTCACCGTTATCGCAGATTGTACATTCACAACGAGGAGCACGGAGGACAAACACATCCTTCTTCTTCTTCTTTCTCAGGAGACAGAAGTTGTGTTTGTTAAAAGATGGCGGCGTGTTGGTGTGTGGGGGGACATTATTCAACCACAAGCACCGTGTAGGGACGGGGCTTGATAAGGTTTGATTGATGCCAATAATTATCAATTCTAATCGGTCAGTTTATGGTTCAATTCTCTTCCTGATTCTCTGCTGAAATCTGATTGAACCTAACACGACCCGCCGGGTTCAGGCCCAAAGCTGCAGGTCAGGCTCAGAACAAATTATATATATATTTAATATTTTATTAATAATGCATGCAACTGTAATTAATGAGTGAATTTGTTATTGATTAGTTTTAATAACAGTTTGCACTATATTATATGCACAATGTAGTTTTGAGACCGACCCAAATTTCTGCTTAAAATAAATAAATAATCTAAGTAATCAATCAAAGCTCTAATTCCTGATCAGTTTTGTGTAGCCTGCACAGGTTTTCAGCTTCAATGCAACTGATTGATTATCTCTGATTCTGAACTCAGTGTAGAGTTATAGTAGTTTGAGCTTCTCCTTCTTGTTGCTTCCAGCAGACACATCAGACAAACACACATGCTGGCATTGATAAAAGTTTATAAGCTCGATGGCGTTCGTGACGATTTGGAATCGGTTCTCATCTGGAATTTCATCTGGAATCTCCAACAATGTGTTGCATCATTATACTCTAGTTAATTTCCTCTCGATCTAATAACGCAGGGTTGAGGCCAACACTTCTCTACCTACATGATCCGAAAGCTTTAAACTCTAAATATGATGATTATGAGTTTCTTTCTAACTGTTTCTGACCAAAAGAGTTTTCTCATCTAGTCGAAGGTATTTATGATTTGAAACCAAGCGCTCTGGGGCTTTAAAGACTAATGTTCTTCCTTCCTAACACTACATGACCTTTTCTTTACTTCTGCTCGGCTGGGATCGGTGCCTTCGCTCCGTCCTGACACACTTTGACTGAAGCCAGGTTGGTGTACACGCGGAGGGGTGTGTGTGCTCACAGTCAATAGTCTGCTCTCCCCCTGATTGCTTCACATTAATAATAAAGTGTCTTTCTATTTTGGGGGCCAGCTTGCATCTGTGATGATGGAGAGTGATTCATTCGGTGAGCCCTGAAGAGCTCCTGCCCTACGCTCGGGTAGACTGAGGTCTATTTACAAACACTGTGATCACACTCTGTTACAGTGAGTGGAAGCTAATGAAAGACAAAGCAAGGCCTCAATAATATCTGGTGCATCGGACAGACTGTGAATGTGCAATGCATTCAGATATACAAATATAAGAGGTGACAGAGACAGAAAGCAGCAATAAAGACAAATGAAGGATACAGTATTGATTCTTTTGTGCCACGATTATTATAATTTTGGGACTTTTAATGCTCCATTAAATAAATTGTAATTAAAAACAATCCAAATGCACTGCTGCTGTTTTTTTTTTTTTACACATTTAAAGATATTTTTCTGATTAAAACATGTGATTTTGCAGATGTTTGCTCATTATTAATCTTAATGATTTTACATGTAACTGTTTTAATTAGGAATCTGTTTTTTTAACTGATGTTGATGTTTGTGTCCTTATTGTCTGTCTTCTATATTTTTTCATTTTTGTTTAAATTGTTTATGTTTTTCTTGCTTAATCTGGGCATCGTTGAAAATGACAGTTTAAGGTTGAATGAATGAATGAATATATAGCAAAGTACAGACACATACCAGAAAAATATTCATATTAATCATATTTATTTTCATGGATCATATATAGGAATCTTGGATTTGGATTATTGTAATCTGGGAATAGTATTGAACTTCAACATTATTGACAGCTGGCATGAAATATCTGATCCTAACTTTATTCATTTATTTTGTAAACACAAAATGCCCATTTGAGACCATTTAATTTAGGCTTTGTCCAACTTCTTGTCTTTAGAAAGCATTTAATATCTGAGAACTTTTTCAAGAGAATATTATTTGTTTATAAGGCTGCACAAATAATCACAATATTATTGAAATCACAATATGGACAAGTGCAATATGCAATCACAGGAGCTGCCATCAAAGCAGCATTATAATGAAGTACTGTAAAGCTGCAGAGGTGCCCTGACCTACAAATCTTATTCTCCACATATAAAGACCCCAATAAAAGTCACATCATCATGATTGTTTTCCCACTAATCGTGAATCATATCTGTCAAAATAGTTGTTTTTTTTTTTTACCATACTGTGCAGTCTTAAGTTTTTATATCTCATTAAGTGAGATCAGGTGACAATGCAGTTAATATTTTTTTAAAAGATGCAGCAAAGCGGCTAAAATACCAACATTTTTAGTCCCTAGTTTGGGCCATTAACGCTGCATCCTACAGTTCCCATAATGCAACTTGATAGCACGTCTTTATCAGACTCTCTGTGTCTGATAAATGCTCAGACATCCACTGCAGAGTGTGTAAAACAACAGTTTATACTGAGTGGTGCATAAAGTATTAACATAATTAATAGTTAATGGTTTCATTAAATAATGGAAGTGTTTGCTTGTTAAATTACCACACACTATTTCTTCAGGGCCCCTGAGAGTCTGGGGTAGTTGCCCACTTTTGTCCAATTTTGTAATCCATCCTTGCAGGTTTCTAAACATTTCATACTTAATGTGATGTCCTGTCATGCTTCAAAGGCCAAATATATAATCAATACATCCATTATTACTGTTATTTCTCTTGTATGTCTTTATAAATGCACCAGCAGTGAGCCTTAAAATGTCACATTTTCTGAATCGAGGCTTTAAATCAATAACAACATGACGCAGTTAAAGCTTCCTGTGTCACATAAACAAAACAGGGAAAACAAAAAGTGGAGGAACTGGATGACTTACTGGTGATGACGCCTCCGGAGAGGGAGGCCAGGAAACCCACACTGACCAGCACCAGGGTGATGAGGCGGCCCCTCTTGTGGCGCTGCAGCATGACCAACATGAGCAGCCCCACCGCCCCGTGGACAAAGAGCGAGGAGAAGAGACACCACAGGAACACCCAGTACCACATCTCTGACCGAGGGGGGGGGAGGGGGGAGACAAAACACAAAACAGGCAGGATGTTTGATCAGATACAGCCGGAAAACACTCAAATACATTCGATTTGATTCAGCTTACGTTGATCCATCAGAGCAATATGTTTACTTCCAAGGACCAGTGTGAAGGGTTTAGTGCTGATTGCAGCTAACTGAACACTGCTCGCATCTGTATTTGACGACCTAGGAATGAGAACGACTTGTGCGAAGGGTGCAGGAGAAACTACGGTGGCCTGGTAGTTTGGTTTGTTCGTTCTGGGCTAATGTAGAAACATGGCAGACTCCATGGAAGGCAGTAGATAAAAACGTGTCATTTTAAGGTAACAAAAACATAATGATTCCTACATTCAGGTGATTATACACTAATGAAAACATACCTATTAATATTATATTTTATTTCTGCCAATAAATCCTCCTAAATGTTACAGACCGGACCTTTAATAAATGCTGCAATGATTATTAAAATAACAGTGGTGGAGTATTTACATGTTTACATTTACCAAGAGCTGCAACGATTAGTCCATAAAATTAATTGATTAAGCACTTGCTCACAATGATTTTCCCGCAGCATAAATAACAGAACAAATCTTATTTTTACAGGAAATTCATCTTCAATTAGCCCATTAAAAGAAAAGGTAGAAAGTATAACAATCATAAACCGTAAAAGCAGTTAAATTTGATCATTAATCGGCTTCATGCGTGTAGATGTGACCGTCTGCAGCATTTCTAAAATAGACTTGATGACAGAGGTTTGCTGCTCTTACTGTAATCTGTTTATGGTAATACAAAGACAGAGTGCAGTATCTGCGTATTTGGGGTCATAGGTCAAAGAATTGGTCAGGATTTTTAGGCCAAAGCCTTAGAGAATACATACTTAATGAGCGCATAACTGCTGTTCTACATAAAACGCATTTGGCTGATCAGTCAAAACACTTACTGCGGTTTGCCTTTGTAGGGCAGCATACAAGGGATTTAAAGTCAGGATATCTCGGCCTGCGCTGCTCCTGTTTAGACCTTTCTTTATTTAATCTGTCCCTCAACTTGATGTTAAGAGCAATCTTAAATCACTGCAGGGCTCCTTCAAAAATCAATCGATCCCACAGGATAAATATTCCTCCATTCATAGGTAAAAGAGATTCAGATTCCCTCGTTCAAGAGCGTACTGCAGCTAGAGATCAGGATGCACAGATACGTCTGCGAGGGAGGATTTCAATCTACAGCTGCCACCATCTACAGTCGGGGCTCGTCGAGGAGGCAGCCGACCACAGTAATGGACCTGAGGCGAGATGCGTCAAACCGCCCGCCCGCGAGAGAGAGATTTCAGACGAGCTGGTGAGCGAACAAAAGCTCGCAGTTGCTTTTTGGACTTCAGCTGGACTGGACATAAATCAGTAATCACAGTTTTCCACTGCTCGCTCAGTTGCTCTGTTCCAACTCCCAGACTGACAACAATAATTACACACTGAGCTCCACCAAACACAACGGTGACAAGAGAAAAAACATATCAGGCATCACAACAGGGCCCAAACTTTATTAATTGATTTCATAAGACAAAATAAACATCTTTATAGAAAATCTAAGGAAAAAACTTTCAAAATCTCTCTCCTCCTCATCCCTCTTTCTTTCTTTCTTTCTTTCTTTCTGTCTAACAAACAGGCTTTACATAAAGAGCCTCTGGCCTTCATCGCACTTCACCAGCAGCGAGGGGGCCTTGCTTTGAACCACTGGCACTGTGGGAGCGAGGAGACGCCAGCTGGCCGTGAGATTATTCAAGAAGAAAAGAGATCGACTGAGGATGAGGGCGCTCGGCGTGGATACGAATGACCACTCCAGAGAGCAGGAATGTTGTATAAAAAGCCCCAAACATGTTGTGTTTTGGATGTAAACAGGAAATGTGACATTGTTGTGTGGTGTAAACATCTGAAGACTCACATCTATACATCTAACCTAGTTGTTCCTCACTCGACTAAGACGTCTACTTATTGATCCGGCGAACAGCCAGCGAGCCGGGCGGAGAGAGACGTGACAGCACAGTAACACAACGGCTCTTTGTCCTTGCACACTGTTAGACCACGCTGTCGCTCTACAACCATCGCCGCAGAGAGGCTTTCCATTCTGTTAATCACGCTTCCTCCCCAGTCCTCGCTCCTCCGTCCTCCTGCCTGTGACCCGGAAATCGATGGAGGTCGGCCATCATTAAGGTTGTCCCGATAGTTTAAGTGAGTCTCAGAGGAGGCGAGGAAGGAGGAGGTTCCCAGGGGAACTTATCAAATCATACAGAACGTAATTACAAGCTCTGGGGTTTCTTACGGCTACGATATCTGACACTTCTCCTGCAGAGCTGTCAACCAACTGCTGGCAAAATGGTGGCAAAGCAGCGTTGTAACGGTTCGGTTCGGTATGTTTTTGGTACGGCAGGAAGTGTTACCACTAGCCAAACACGTGTCGCACACAATCGCGACAAATCTAAAAACAAATATCTATTTTATTATTATAAAGCCAAATGTGAAATTGGTCTACAGGATAAATTCAACAGGTGAATTATTTTCCACACAGCTTTTCTTGCCAGTTTCCTGTTAGAAAGTAATTTGTTGCCCAACATGTGATTAGATCCAGTCCCCGGTCGCTGAATTAATTCCTACAAGTAACAAGTATCATGTCCAATCTCTAACGTTTATAACAAACCAAATTTAATGAAAATTGGTCCAGAATTAAGCGAGTTACAGTCCATTTTGTTGTAAAGTCCTAATAACTCAGTACTATTAAGTAGCAGATCTCGACCTCTCTAATATGGCGGCTGCGCAGTCCACAAAACACAAGGAAGAGAGGTGAGCTCCATTAGGATCCCTCATCGGTTGCAAGGGGGGCCGGGCATCTGGCGGCAAACTTAAGCCCGGATGGATTAACACAACGCTCAACATAGGACCACTAACCCCACCTCGGTCCCCTGAATGCCTCAGCACCAGGGTGGAAAGTTACTACTCAAGTACTTAAGTACAATGAGGTACTTCTTGACTGGAGTATTTCCATTTTATAATACTTTTACTCCATTACATTGACAGCTGAAGCTACTAGCTCCTTCAAATGAAAAGATTTCCTCTAAAAATGATAAACTTATAAACTGTAATATTATATTCAATTGTTAGCAGCTCCACCAAAGAGAGATTTCCTTTCTAAATGTCTCAAATTGTTTCAATAAGTTACTGTTTGAGGCTCAGAAAGGTCATATTAGCCAATATTTCACAATAAAAGCAAAGATAAGACCAAAATACAAATAAATTGATACAATTTTAGGTAGCAGAACATTGTTTTTTTTTTTCTTTCTCCTTAATTAATCTTCTCATGATGCCTCAGATTTATCTTTTATCTTGTGACTCTTTGGCGTGGGCCTGATCCCTATGTTGGGACTAAACTGTAAACGCTATAATAAACTAGCCCCACGCCTCTCGCATTTTTTGCAGAACAAGTACTTTTTTTACTTTGAGTACATTTTCCTGTTAATATTTTGTACTGTTAAATAGATTTTGAATGTAGAACTTTTACTTTTAGTATTATTACATTGTGATATTAGTAGTATTTTTGTTGATTCTGGAGGCCCCTTGTGGACAAAAGTGATAGTGTTTCCACCACCTCGTTTCATTGATTTCAAGGGGATTCCGACATTAAGTATAACAATAGAAACATCTTCACTCTGATCACACAGAGACGTCAGTATTAAACTGAGACCAGTTAACACAGCAGTTCCCAACGTTTTTCATTAAGAAACTTCTTTTCTATCACTGAGTAAACTGACATATATAAACAGATATTTCATATTATGTTCAAAGAATTATTTTTGGCCTTTATGCCTTT